TAGTGGGCCAGGGCTTCGCCAAAATTCGTCGAACAGGCTTGGCCTTCGTCGCGCCGCATCGCCACCCGTGCAACACACACTACACGCGCAGAGAGAGAGAGAGAGAGACGCGAAGAAGGCGAGCGAGGCCAAATACGAGGAAAAGGACAAAAAGGGTGAAGAAGTGGAGGGAGGAGAGAGAGGAAGGAACGGGCGATCTCCTTAAGAGAAATGCGTGGGAATTGAACCATGTGGCCCGAGGACTGGTTCGCGAAATATCGCATTGCGAAAGTACGCGCACACCCACAGAGAGAGAAAGAGAGAAAAAGAGAGTATACGGAGCTATATTGTGTGCATGTAAGACGGCGGGAACTGTTCGGTGTGTATATGCACTCCCGTTCATAAGTATTAGAACACTTACTGAAGTAAACCTAAACAATCATTACAAGAATCTTAAGATCCTAAAAAGAATTATTCCGTCTGAAATCCTATAACGAGTACATACACAAGGTTCGATAAAAAAAAAAATATCCAGACTAGTGTTACAAATCTTTATTTAAAAAAATTCGTAGGCACTTGTGTTGTTTATAAATGATGTTTTGTATCAAATAACTTTTTTTAAGTACGCTCTCTGAACCGTGTAAATCAAGCCTTTAACACGTTCCCTGCCACCGACGCAGCATATGCGGTACAAAATGTACTGCCCAGAGTGCTATCTATTTTCCAATGGCGGCGAGGGTGTTAAGCGTAGAAGAAGATATCTACAGATTCTATTTCACATTTACTCCGTTAATATCACTGTGACATAAAAAACATCTAGGAACTCAAAAATTCTTCGATGCTATAATTCAACTTTTCCGTCTAATTGATTTAAAATTAGCGCCTTAATCTGCTTCCACTTTTTGCTCGTACTTTCTCCTCTTCTTTTTCCACATCTTCCATAGCGTGAATTAAGGTCGCGAGAAACTAAGATCGTGTTTAAGAAACACGTGGTACGTTGGTCGATATTATTTAAAAAAAAAAATTAGTAGAAAATTTTTTTCAGGCAAGTTTCTTATTTGCAATACAAGTTTTATAAGTATCTATTAGAAAATGTTTGTGAATAACAATATTTAAAAAATTTTTCAAAAATGTATTAAACAAACTCTGACACATATACCAGTAGGAAGAGTATAGAAAAGGATCATAGTTACGACGCAAAAAATAGTTTGCGCGATTGTCGACCATTAAAGGTGCGTTACGAGAGCGGCAAAGGTAAGCACATAATGCGCATGTGTGTCAGTCGGGACAAGAACCTCGAGTGCCGCGTGACTCGTAGCTACTACTGTGAATTAACAGCTGATTTTACGCGTAAATGCGTGGATATGCACGTACACGTATTATACACGTTGCATTCAGATATCGTCGCCGTATCACGTAACCCGTGAACGAGTACGCAAGTTGCTTTCAGATAAACGTCAAATTTATATAACTACTATAATTTCGAAAAATTTACTGGCTTTATACAGGGTGTTCCCGAATTGATGGTACAATCCAAAGACGGCTGAATCTAGATGAAAAAGTAAGTTGAAAACGTTTAGAGTAACATTTTTTTTTTCCATACGAAGCCTCGTTAATTTCCGAATTAATCATTGTTAAATTTTAATATTTCTCGTTTTCAAATGTTCGAATAATACAATGCAATATTGGAACAATAAAAACATAAAGCACAGCAAAAATACAATGGAATAATAAAAGAAAAATTATTTTCTCCTTGAGCTGTTCCCCACTTAGATTCTCGTTGCAGTACACAAGAAACTTGACTTGACTCCATAAGTAAAAATATATCGATATCAAGATCCTAGTGTGCAAGCTATTTCACCATTACGATCGATTCTTATTTCTATGTCATTCTTTATCCTTCGCTATCTAATGTGACAAACAGCAATTCAGATAGTCACCAATGACATTAGTTAAACGCAAGTGTAACAGATTATGTGTATGATTACGTTACTCATTCAGAAATGAAGCTCCGTATGAAAAATGTTACTCTACATTTACGAATTATTTTTTCACCTAGATTCACCCTTTCTCGGGTTGTACCATCAGTTCAGAAACACTCTGTATACGCGAATATTGTTACGACGATTAACCTAGTCGAATAACTTCATTCAGCTCGATAAGGCATTAAGTATTTGAAAAAACTCGATGGTGTTGTACAAGATAAAAATTGTAAACCAGGAAAAGATGTGAATAACCTAGTAAATAACCAATTGTCTGATAATATCTCGATAATCATTTCCTTCAGTACGTATATACATAAATACTTGTTTCAGCGGAAACTCACACGCTTTAAAAGTTTGCGCAGAAATGGAAATAAGTAAAAGTCTAAAATTGCACTTTTTTAATTATTATCCTTCTTACTTAAAATTATTTTGTAACTTTTATTGAAAAAGTTTCCGTTTTAATACTTTCGAAAAGAGAAAAATAAGCATTTTAAAATGTTAATGTACATAAGTAACAAAACTTCCTTTACTTTTTATACTTTTTATTATAGCGCACTCGAGTTGTGAAAAATATTGCTAAAAATCACGTAATAACGTTAAAAGTTTACGATCTTGTTACGAGCCGCGTTACTATTTTCAGGGCCACATGCGGCCCGGCGGGCAGCGGGTTGGACACGCCTAAACTAAAGTTTCAAAAGAAATGGCGCCAACAGTGTTCACCATGTATCTTTAATTAACCCTTGTGTGGTCAACTAAAATGTCCACCATTGTTTCAAACTTCAATATTTAAAATTGTTTACGTAAATTTTTATTTTGTAAAAATGTCCAAAAAATGGGAATCCGGAGCGGTTTTACGATACTTTCATAAGGACATAAAAAAATCTGTTAAAGAAAATATAGAAATGGGTACTCGGGTTGGACGCACAAGGGTTAATTATACAAATTTCACAAAATCCCTGGTCATAAATTACTAACTAAGCTATCCAAAAGAAAAGGAGTTCACCGTGTATGTTCAATAAAATGATAAGGGACGTCAGCTGATATTTGCAACGTCAGAGAAGCAACCGTATAAGGGCAAACTAAAGCGGTCAGTGTCACACGGTTGGACTATGGCGAGACAAACGATTAAAGCACCGACATGACTAGGCACACGAGCCGATCGAGCGGGTCTAGTTTAACGGCGTGGGATCGGACGACGACTTTCACATGCTAAAATTAGTCCAACAACGCCGCGCGACAATTTGTAAAAGCCGCCGCCGACGTCGCCACGGCGACGTTGCGTAATATTCGTACGTTCACGCGAGAACGATTGAGCTTCATTGGCGAATTCACCTTACCAAAGAGAAACAGGTTACCGTTTCCGGTCTACGTGTTAACCTTAGTAGGAACGACATCCTGTTAAGGACACATCGTCGGTCACTAACATGACCGTACGCGGTGAAACGTTACGACCGCAAAATAATTTATTCCCGCCTTAACAGTATCTAACCAGATCGTTATGACTAAAAAAGATGCAAAGTTCGTGTCTATGTTTTATCTTCCTTTGCGACTGGAAGCGGTTCAATGCATGCACTACGACACTTGGAAAGTATTGTAAACCTTATTGGAACTATTATCAAAATGAAATGAACATTCGTATGAGTTCAATTTTCATGGTACTTCGCTACCTTTCTTATTTAACCCTTTCGTTGCGGCAGATTTTAGTATGCAACACGTGTGGCAGACGGCGAATGTTTCACCGCGGCCGTAAAATCTGTTGTTTTGGTCGTGTAATTTAAAAATTTGGTTTATTAAATTGAGGTCGAAGTACGCGAGGGATAAAATTAAAGATCAAATTAAGGTGGAAATGCACCAAAAGGCTCAAATTTTCAAAATGCCTATACGCGTCAACAGCAATGAAAGGGTTAACAGTCTACTTAAATGTATACATTTTAATTCTGCTTGAAAATTGTAAAAAGATCTGATTTTTTTATTGTTATTATTACTTCGGATATTTGTATATGTCTAATTGAATACAACAGTGATCTTAATTGAAAGAAATATCCGACGAGAATTGTTCATCTTGAAGACAAAAAATCCATAGAGTGATGAATGAAAGTGCAGATCGAATGAATGAAGTGCTGCAGAGTGATACTACTAAACAACCGTACACCACTCATACGATAGTAAAATGTGTAGCCATTGACGGTCTCTCGGTGACGTGCAAAAAGTGCGGCATAAGAATAACTTTTTATACGCACAGCACATTTTGCACTCGTTCAAATTAGAGGTACACACTTTCGAATAAAACACGAATTTCGTTGAGGAAAAATGTTGCAGGTAAAAATTCTATACAAAATTACACGCAAAGCAAAATCAATTCTATAAGAGAATGTAAAAAAGTTTCATTTATAAGTTCGATACGACATTTCCCTCTCTATACGTGCAAATGATAACTAAATAGATACCGAGTGCATTCTATCCAAAGAATCGACCCTTTGAATTCATTCTACTCTACCAATATACTCCCACCTGTGTACAATTTATACGTGCCTAAAAAGAAATTACACACATCAATAGCAAAATACTTCAATCGGCACTACGAATTCAAAAGGTGAATCTAAAAACGTTATGAGGGAAGCCAAAAAGAGAATGGTAATTCAAGCCGAGGATTAATTCTTCCTCCAGCACAGGTAACTTATTGGAGGAAGCGCTAGAGAGACATCGCTTTTGATGGTAGAGCGTCTAAAACTACTGAAGGATCATATATATAAATACTTCGTTTCATAAAACTTTCATCGATCAAAGGCTAAATTAATTTTCATGTTCTCCTCTACTATGTCACAAAAGAACGGCCTAAATATATTTACAAAAGAAGCTGAATTTCGATGAACGTTTCGATTATGGGAATAATGATCTTGTTGTCTCATGCCAAAATTTCCTTCTTCAAGCTAAGATGATATATTTTGTACAAGGATAATTCCGTGAATTGAAAGAGAAAAGACGCGTGATCGTGGTCGAGTAGAAAAAGGAAGAACAGCGGCGTTTAACACTTACCTTAGAAAGTTTCTCGCCCTCGTGATGCGGCAGCAACGTCCTCAGCGACTGAAAACCGGCGTTAATACTTTGCATCCGACGACGTTCATTGCTGTTGGCGATTTCTCGCCGCATACGCTTTTCCTGCTCCATGTGGCTTCGCGGTGTCACACGGCTAACGTTGCTGGTACTGTTGCCGTTGCTCAGAGCAACGTTCTGACCAGCAACACGGCGGGATACCGCGCCGTTGCTCTTTGATTGCTGTTGCTGTTGCTCTTGCGAATCAACGACCTCGGCGACCGTCACGCTCGTGGTCACCGAGCCCTCCTCTACTATTCCAATGCTTCTGCAAACAGAAATCGGGCCCTTTTAAGCGGTTATAACAATTTCGCCGTGCCTGCCTCCGATTGATCCCCCTTTCCTAATTATACTACAGTATGCGAGAACTCTTAACCCTTTGCGGTCTGAATTACTTGCGTCGTTTAGTTCCACCTTGTCTGCACTCGTTTGCCCACCATCGAACGTGAAGTTTGCCTTTATTTCCACATTTCCGCATGACATTAAGTTACAAAATATTAAGTTTCAGTATAATACCAATAAATTAAAAAATGTATTACATCTGATGACAAAATTTCCTATGTCGAGCTGGCTTCGAAATGCGACGTCAAGTAATATGATTCGACTCAGGACTGTAAAGGGTTAAAAGCACGCTCGCAAAGGAACTTTGGTAACCCAAAAATTCCGATTTTTTTAACTTTACAAGTTTGTAGAAAGCGTTAGTAAAAGTACCACGCAACTTTCTTTTTTCGTACCTTTTAGTTCTTCAGAATAAAAACCCCGCGGTATATCACGTATGCTTTATTTACTGCACAAAAGTCGCATGCCGTCATCATTAAAGTCATATATTACATACACCACCGAAATGATAATAAATTGTGATTTCTCTGCACTACTATACATGTATATTCGACGGCCTATATTTAATTTATCTTACGAATACCACATATTTACATTTACTACAATAAAAACAAAATAGGGAAGATTGGCATTTTTATACATGTGTCGGTACACAGTTGACGAGAGAGAGAGAGAGAAAAAGCGAAATTATTTTCTCATTTTCTAAAGAAAATGAGGGGGGAGGAAAAAAAAACAGGGGCATAATTTTCAATGTGTTGAACCGACGGCGGTGAGACAAGGAGAAACTGTCATTGCCAGACATTATGGCGGGCGCATTCATTTGATAGCGCACGACAAGCACACCAGTCGCGGGTCTCTCGAAAAGCATTTTGGCGTAGCCACCAAAGAGATCCCCCAAAATCAAAGAGACGAGATGGAAGAGGACACTGACACAGCCGCGTGTGTATATCTCTATGCGCACCCCATATGACGTCCACGATTCGTCGGGTTTTGTGACGGCTCTGAATATTTGATTTACAAGCAGATACCAGAGAAAGAGAGAGAGGGAGGTAGAGCACGCGCAGAAACCATCGCGGACGGAAATATAAAAACGGCTGTCTGTCTGGTTCCAAGGGCTTTTAAGAAAATTGAAAGCGTCGAGCTGTTTGTTTCGCGGAACTACATAGCAGCCACGACTTATCGACAGTTAAATTCGCGGTCAATGAAGCGAGACATCATTGTCGTTCTGTGGTTACTGCTTCAAAGACTAAGCTGCACGCAATGCCACGCCACGTGAAAATATTCCAACGTTTCCTTGCGCGACCGCGCTTTTTAAATGCTTTTTACGAACCCGTACGTTTCTCCACGTGCACGACGCTTTTCAATGTCAACGATTCACGGTTTCCAATGATCCAGGAGGATTTGCGTACTTCCTCTTCGCCCTTTTCCCATTCGTAAACATCGTATAGAAAATGTAGTTGTTAATTTTTTTATTTGCGCCTTTGTTTAGAATTTGTACACTCGTGCGAAAAGTATCGTGCATTAGAAAGTCGCAACAAAATGTACTTGGCTCGTATATTAACTAGATGAAATAATGTAACTAGACAATGTAACCAGACGAAATAATGTAACTACTAGACGATGTCACTAGACGAAAATGAAGATATTTATTTTTATTATGGCCATTGTACAGAATCTTTCTATTCGTGCGAAAAATATTGTGCATTAGAAAGCCTCAAAAAAAAAATTGCCTGGTACATTAACTAGACGAAAATGTAGTTATTTATTTTTTTATTGGCGCCTTTGTTCAGAATTCGTACACTCGTGCAACAAACACTGTGCATTAAAAAGGCATAAAAAAAAAATGTACCAGTCTCGTACATTAATGCTGTTTTTTATTAAATTTTAATAAAAATTTATGAACACGTCTAATACACTTTGTAAATTAACTATGTTAAATGTAACACTGTAAAGATTTACTATCACCGAATGTCACTTTCGATCATATTCTCCAATAACTATTTGGGTTATTGAATTTGCCTCCAGTTCATTTAGAAACAACACATGAATCACTAAGGACAGACTCTACGTGCTGTCGCGTATTGTTCGAATTCAATTTAGCGTACACATGCCATCATTTTCCCATTGCGGTATACGTATGTTATACACGCGATTATGTACACATCGCAAATTGAAAACGTTCGTGTATTATCAATACTATGTACCGCTTCTTTGATAACGAAAATCGTGATGCTTTTATTTAGCACAAAGTTAAATTTCAATTTATAGAAATGATCAAATAGTTTATCTTTTGGGAATTTAATTTGTTTAACGAAAAAATTGAAACGTTGTATACGTGTATAATAATAATCGAGATGACCTCGGATATCATATTCATACACATTACACAAAAGAACTTTGTTATTAAAAAACATTTATTTTAACCTCGTAAACTACTGAAAAATTCTACTTCTAACCATAAATAATCAACGCGATAATTCAAAAAAATGGTAACAAAGTTTAATTTTAATTTATACCACTAATAAATATTAAATACAAACTCTACATGATATTAGAATTTATAACATTTTCCACCTAACAAAGTATTAAAACAGTAAGCAGTTAAGAAATATGACCGCTGATTACAATTTTACATTCCGATGAGCGAAGCAGGAATTAATAATTACTATAAAGCTATTAGCATAACAATAAACAAATAAAATGCGATTTGTAAAATATAATGATTTGTATACTGCAGTAAATATAGTATGGGGCGTAAAAAAATATAGTAACATAAAATATAGTGACATAAAATACCTAACTTCCAAGTGTCATGGCGTTATAGAGGATTAACGCTAATATACTTGGCCATAAAATAGTCATAAAAGGAGGGATTAAATCTGATAAAAGGAAAGAGGAAAGAAATGAAACTACACATCTGATTCTAAATGGCATATTCGTGAAACGCAGGTAACGAAAAGGAAGCACGTATTTGAGGAAGATTAACAGTTGAATAAAGCGGTCTACTATTACGCGAGCAGGTGTAATGAATAGTTTAGAAACGAAGAGATGAACGTTTCTCATCGGCAAGGGGGCAGCAAAGAAAGATGTGAAACCGGTGGCGCGCTCGCCGCTAGGAAGCATCTGGTAAAATTACACAGAGACGCGCTGGAGACGGCGATAGGGAGAAAGAGAAAAGAGGGAAAAGATCTGGATGGCGGATGTGAGATGAGTCAGCAGGGAAAGACCGTGACCCTGTGCCCTGCTCTTTGAAACATTCGTTCAACGCGTGTCGATAATAGAAGCGAAACATATACATACCTATATATATATAATATACAGGGTGAACCATGGTAACGTGATCACCTTGAATTATTCTATTATTAATAAACCGATCTAAATTTTTTTTTGAGTCGCATAATATGGTTCAAGGAGGCTCTTAAAATGATCTATTAATTTTTTTACGTGCATGCGCTTATACATGCACGTAAACGAGCATATCGAAACGATAATTTTGTAGAAAGAATCTCGCGAAAGTAAATAGGCTGTGGAAGGTTACGTTTCTTGATTGTTCGTGTTCTATGCCTATGAAAATTTGAAATTTTAATGGAACAGTAGTGCTGAATCGAACACGAAATTTCGAGCTTTTCCGAAACATTCTTCGATTCACGTTAATATTGTTGACAGTGGTAGTGATGTTAAGAAGTACTTTCAATGAGAACTTGAAGGAAAAAAGTAAAGAATTGGTTAGCGTTGGAATTTAATCCCTGAAATTGTCTAGGATTCTCTGTCAGCCTCGAACAGTATGCATGATTAAGTAATTAGCTGTGCCTTATTTCCTATTCCTACTGAATAGGAAAAATTGTACCGAACCCGTTTCAATGACTTATAACCGAAACGTCTAAGTGAATTGACCTCGAACTCCGACCATTCAAAACTTAAACGTTGTTACCGAGCTAGGGTTACTATGAAATTACTTTATAAACTTGAGTCACAGGCAATCATTTTGAAAACTTATAAACACCTGTTTACCGTGAAAAAAGAACACTGAAATTATATTTTCAGCCTATCGGAAATTAATCTAACCGTACTTAAAGTTGGCAAACAACAACAGAATCTTACGAAAATCGTTGCAACATTGATTTAAAAAAAAAGTACAGTCCAAAGAATAAAAAGATTGCATATTAAAATCTAATTGATAAACAAACAGATAAAAGATAATGTCTTGTACACCTGTCGTACAAATGCTATCGATGAAAAAATGAGTATCACAACTGATATACAATGTGATCGCAAACAAGAACAGCTAAAAAAGGAATATCTCAAAAATAGACAGAAATAATCTAAGATTAGCCGAAAAGGAAAAAATCTAGGCCTCTACTACAGAACGACATTATCGTTCAAAGAATACGCTATCTGTTTAGAAATCAATTACTCTAATCGACGTATAAGGATAAAAAAAATGAAAAAGTGAATGACGATGATAGAGTTGGTAGTGCAACTGCAGCTGGAAGCTCGGAAGACTCTAGCAGGAACTAGATAAATGAACGACTGATGAAGTCATCGGACTTCCTGCAGGATATACAATAATAACACGTGGTCCAAGCAGCAGAATTCCACATGGCATTCTCCCATCCAGTGGTTACATTAGATCAGCTGGTACGCCGAGGGCTTACTGGCTGGATGGTTGGCTGGTGTGACGTCAGCTCGTTCGTCGGGTACCCGCTGAGTTCACTCGGATCAGTCCCGTAGAAGTAGGTCGACTAAGTAGGTGGCTACCTTCCTTTTCATCGCAGACCTTATATATATATATGTATGTGTGTATATATAAGATCAATATACT